CGCCTACATGGCCCCAGCTGCTGAAGCACTTACAGTGCTTGCCTCCGAGTTGCGGTACACCACGCACGCTGCTGGCACCCGGAGGGTTTGGTGTAAGGGGTAGCCACACTAATTACTCTCCAATTTATTTTTAATTTATTTATTTGTATTGCAGTAGGACCTACAGGTGGGATCAGGTCACCCTGGTGCTAGGCACTGGACAGACACCTGCAGACCTCGCCCTGCAAAAAAGCCTGGACGGAGAGGAGGAAAGAGAAATGATCATTCTCACTGCGCGGCGTTTAGATGCTTAACTTTTAGCAATAAGGGTGGAAATGCTGGCCAAAGTTCTTTTCTTCTAATCTCAGAAGGTGCCCGAAATCGGTCTTTGCCTGGCATTTTAAACACAGACCCACACACAAAGAAAGGAATTAACGGGAAACAAACCGGGCAGGAATGACAGCACAAATCATTAATATTTCCAGGATACTCCCTTCTCAGTGCTCCCTTGTCATAACAAATGGCATCTACAGAGCTGAGGGTTCTACAATGGAAACCCACCCTGTCTCTCTCCCCCACCCTAACCAAGCAGCTCCCTAAAGCCAGCCCACAGTCACAGATACCTTTGGTTTCATAGTAGACAACACCAGCAAAGTGGTTAATGCCAAACTGGGTTTCATGGTTATTCTTCGGCGGGATGTAGTTGGTGTTTAGCTTGTGCTGGGAATTCAGCTTGTGCAGCATTGTGGTATCTGTACCCTGCATAAGTAAGAAAAAGGCCAATGTTTGTCCCATTAAAATAGTTCTCAAATAATCAGTGTGTTCCTTTTTCATTGGGGCAGTGGGATAAGAGTTTGTTTCAACAAGAGATGCACGGGGAGAAAACGTGAGACGAGTAATTTAAAATAAAAACAATCTGACCACACCCTTCCCTAACAAGGCTGTTGTACGTACACTCTCACCACCATAAATACGAGTTTGTTTGCAACAGTGACAAATGCTGAAAGAAAACTTGAGACATCAGTAAAGGCAACAAATATGGAACCTAAACCCTCTGTGCTTGATCCACAGAGTCTGTTACAGCCCCACCCAGATAGGGTCGGCTCTTTCTCCGAAGCTGTGCTTTTAGCTCTGGTTCCGTCTCTGGTGTGTCAACCAAGAAGGCAGCTGTCACAAATGCACTTGGTAGATATATGATATAGTGCTATATACAGGATGGCTTCCCCACTTTTTATTAAAGTTGCAGTCATGCAATCAGGGAAGAGAAACAATACCATGTGACTGAAGTGACCAATCGCACAATGGTAATACTGAACACACAGATGACAACATATCAGCCCATTGGCTACAATTGGTTCGCATGAAACTTGTGTCGTAATTTTGAAATAGTAAAACTCAGAGTGAATTTAACAACACACAAAGAGGTGAGACTGGTGGAGTGACTAGGATGAATGGTTGGCCCCAAACATACCTTGGGGAACTTACTCTCCTCGTCAATGAGTGATATGATGTTCATGGGTTTGATGGCGATCATGTCCAAGGCATCCTGGTTGTCGGTGAACTCTATGTGCTGCCAGTTAATGTTCTCCAGGTTGTACTCCTCCTGCTCCAGCTTGAAGACATGGCGCACAAAGAACTGCTGCAGGTTCTCATTTGCAAAGTTGATGCAGAGCTGCTCGAAACTGGGGAGATGAGGTTGGCAAAACCAGATTAGATTCACTGTATGCCCCTGATTTCCCCCTAGCTGTTCCTCCCTTCGCTTCCTATCCTCTAGGGGATACTCACAAGCACTTTAGGCCACTCCGTGAGACTGACGCTGGCTGAGTATTAACTCAAAAGGAAGAGCACCAGCTGCTGAGACCCTAGCACCATACATGTTACCTTTGGAGGTCTCCCATCCAGCCTACCCCTGCTTAGCCTGTGAGATCTGGTGAGAGTTCACACTAAGGTGATTTAACTGCAGGCAGCTGGAGACAGGGTTCTGCAATGCCGTCTCAGGATTTGTACCTGTTCACAGTGAAGTTCTCAAAGCCGAAGATATCGAGAAGACCAATGGACCTCCTGACACTCTGTAGTTCGTGGGAGGGAGGCCTGTAAATGGCAGCATTGATCTTCTCCACAATCCACACGAAAAGCCGCCCGTAGATTCCCTGAATCATCAAAGAGACGGAGCTCGGTGAGACATGGCTGTGGTTCACCCTGCTGGCCTGACACCTGTGGTGACATCCCCTCTCCAGTACAAGCCCCCACAAACCAGACTTTCCCCCAAAGGACACATTCCACAGCCAGGTGATTGCTTCAGAGTGGCAGCCATTTAACACAGAACAGGGGGCTGAAAGCTGCAAGTGCCCAGCTTGCAGGTTTATATTAAAGACAGCCCAGTGCAAAACCCCCGATCTGAATACACCCAGACTTCGGTGGGCTTGGCTCTGGGTGCAAACTGTGTGCTACAGGTCCATCTCTAGTCTGCGGTGCAAGATGCAATTTCTATCTGAGATCAAATGTTGAAATAGCCATTTATCACAGGCTGCCGGCACTTCTAAACCATCCTCCTGCACTACTATCCACCACGTGCAGATCAGTAGAGATGCGACATTGCTATGTACATAAAGAAAGTCCTCCCTCAGTAAGGCCCTGCTTCCTTAAATGGCACAGCAGCAGCCAGCCAGCGTTAACTGGTGCTGCCTCAGCGTTCCTGGGACTGCAGGCATCAAAGCAGCATTATTTTGTGTCACATAATCCAAGATAGAACTTAGATAATATTTGTACTTCAAGGTCCAAGAGACACAGACAAGGTTTTCATCTCGAGGCCAAAAGACCAAAAACATCAAGACACTTGATCACGGCCTTGGATAGGCCAAGAGACTACTTACACTTGATCTTAGCTCATAGCGATGGGCCTGATCTAAAACCTCAGATCCAAATCCCCACAAACCTGGAGGAAGTTCCCATGTGGACGTGGAGACAGATCTGAACTTTGCAGGTTTGGGGGCATCCTCACTGCACACCAGTCAGGCAATCCAAGGAACTGACCTGCTGTACCTGAGCCAGGAGCTAGGGGGTAGGGTAGGTCTGCGCTTGCCTTCGAGGATCAGGGCACTGTTTGTGTGGTACACCCTATGCTGTCATGCAAACAGCATACCTCCTTCACACCATAACACAAGGCTTCATTGCCCCCGAATCCACGTGGGCTGTGTTCTTTCTGATGCTACTGTAACACCTACACAGACCTCCTCACAGCATAGTATTTCTGTGCTGTCTGTCTTTCTTTAACTTACTGCTACAGATAAGCCTGAAGCATAACATTCAGCTCTGGGGACGACTCTGTTTTACACCCGCTAAGGATCTGGCCTTGGGTTTGGGGCTGTTGCACTTCCTTGAAGTTCAGAAGAGCTCAGACTCATAGTGCTGGTTCAACCCATTAAAGACAGACCCCAAGAGCTACATTTGATGCTGTTTGAGTCCAGATGGGCTCAGGTCCAGATTTGAAACCTGAGGTTCTGGCTTAGGCCCATCTCAGCTCACGACATAGACCTCTATGTGCTCCCCATAACTGGCACTAACACGGAGCCATAGATGGCAAGGCCAGACTGGGCCATTAGATCTAATCCGACCTCCTGCATAACACAGACCAGAGAATCCCACGCAGCGACTGATGCCCCGATTGAGATCAATAACTTCCTAGTGATGGAGAGTCTAAATCAGTTTGAAAACGGGCGGGTGTACGTTTTAAAAAGAAAACGCCAGAACGAGCGCACGTTGTGCGTTACCTTGACAAAAGCGTCCCTCACATCCAGCGCCTGCTCCATGCTGAGCGGGGTGGAGACGGTCTCTCCTCTCGTGATTATTGTGCGGCTAGTAAGGCAGTTCATCACATCCTGAGGGTCCACCTGAGCATGGAACAACAACATACAGCTGATTGATACAGAACACAGACAGCTGTTTGGAAAGACGTGGTCTACTGGTCTGATTGCAGGGCTGGGAGCGAAGAACTCCTGAGTTCCAGTCTCAGCTCAGACACTGACTACCTCCACAGTCACTCCCTTGGGTGACTCACTCAACCTTTCTGCCTTGGTTTACCCAGCCACAGCCGGGGGCTAACATCCACTCATTTATGCCACCGAGGCTTTTGCAGGGATGGATTAGTCCGTGTTTGTAAAGCCCTTTTAACCTGTGAAGTGCTACTGCACATTAGTGCAAGGTGTAACCGGAATGTGATGAGAGCACCTAGAACAACAAAACCACTTTTCCTGGGGTTTATAGGTCTGATCCTGCAAATACTTATACACCTGAGTAACTTTACAGCACCCTGTAGTCTCAATCTTGCCAGGGGCATGCCCAACCCTTGATGTAAATGAGAGCAGCCTCAGGGCTGCTCTAACCTATGCATCGCACTCTAGGGGCCAGGAGCCCAGTGGTCGGAGCTACAAAAGGTGTGGGCCATTCCAGCAAGTATATGTCACCAGGGGAACCTCCTTATGCCTGGGGTTCTCCCCAGAGAGAGGTTTCAATCAGTGTACACCCACTTTATGCTGCCAGAATAGGGTAAAGCAGCTGGATCACAAATGGCAATTAGGCTCTCTACGTCCTTCATGAGCAGAGATTGCTTCTACTTCTGTTCGCACAGCGCCCTACACAATGAGTCCTGATTAGACCAGGGTCTCTGGGCACTATCATAATATAAGGAATAAGCAGTTCCAGGAAGAAACAAACAAGGTAATATGACAGAAGAGCAACTGACCTCCAGTAACGAAGCCGCAGTGATTAACGACGCAGAGCGAACAACCTCGCAGGCATCCAGGTTATCGTACATCCGTGCTGCATGGGGAAAGTCACAGAGAAGACATGTGCAGAAGCTGCCTGTGTGGTCAGTCCCTTTTCATCTAGGTTACGGAGCGCTCCCTGACCCCTTCTGACTGCCACGCGCACCGTACACCCGCAGTCAGTCTCAAAGGACGGATTAGATCAGAAGCTTGTAACGTATGGCTCAGCTGGGGACGGTGACGAGCTGCACCATCCCTCGGGGTGAGGAGGCCAAACTCCTCTTGTAGCTCCTGATGCAAGACTTTGCTGCTACACCCCTTCACCCTTCTGGGGTGAGGCTCATTTCCTAAGCTGCAATGGTCCCATTCCATGGTGCCCATGCAGAGGGAGGCAAGACCATGATCCCGCCTCCTCCCCACTGCCCAAAAGAGATTGGGGGGGGGGGCTTCAAAAGTGCCTGACCCTTAAGAAAGTGGCTCAGGGTAGGGGAAAGGCACCACCCCCGTCACACCCACATGCTAGCCAGGCACAACAGGGCCTTGAAAAAAGGAGAGGAAAGATGGTCTGATAGTCAGCACATCATCCTTGGGCTTAGTTAAAATCCCTGCTCTGACACAGACTTCCTATTGGCCCTAGGGCAAGTCACTTAGGCCCAGATTTTAAAGGTATTTAGGTGTAGTGGCGGGGCTCAGACTCTCAATGCCTAACTGATTTAGGAGCCTAAATCTCATTGTCAAAAGTGATTTAGGCACTTCAGTGAGTAAATCCCATTGACTGTCAGCGGGGTTTTGGCTCCTAAGTGCCTAAGTCACTTCTGAAAATAAGACAGAGGCATTTTTGAAAGTGTTACCCTTAGTCTCTCTGTGCCTCAGTCCTTCATGTGGCAAATGGGATAACAGCACTGCTCTGCCTCAGAGGGGTTTCTGAGGATCAATACACTAGGTCAGGGTGTCAAACGTACGACCCATAGGCCAGATCCAGCCAGACGAACAGTTTCATCCGGCCCGCCGACTCTCCAGGGATCTGTGGGCTTGTCTATGCAACCCCAGAGTCCTCACAACAGGGGTGTGATTTGTAGAGTGCACCAGCATGCTTCACTCTAACTGCCCCGTGTAGACCCAGCTAGTGTGCATTGATGTAGTCCTGTTTCAAACAGGACACTAAGGAACATTTAGTGCGTGCCAGCAGGTTCCACCTGGGGGAGATAGAGCACAACACACTGGGGTGCAATCTACAAATTACATGCTCATAGTCCAGACTCCGGCATGGCAATCCAGCAGGACCTCACGTACAGGTTTAGAACCACATGGTAGCATTTAAGGGGCACTGGAGGGGCATACAGTAAATGAAAGCAATTGCCAACATGGTTTATATTCATCCAATTCTATTTGAATCACTTCTGCTGAATGTGGCCCATGCCAAATGGTAGGGTATCGGATCAGGCCAGCCATATGGAATGAGTTTGATACCCCGATTAGAGATTGTAAGGTGGTCAGATACCATTATATTAAGGACCACAGATGTTCCTGGGGTAGGCAGCTAGACAGACTGCTCCAGGTTGATTTTCAGAGGTGCTGATCACTTGCTGCTCCCACTTACATCAAGCACAATTTGGGGAGCTCAGTATGTATGAAATTCAAGGTACACAGGGGATACCAGCGGCAAGCTCTTTGGGCAGAGACTCTGTCTTTAGGCAGTGTGGGCTAGTGGGCAGGGCACTAGCCTGGGAGTGAGGAGATCTGGGTTCTCTTCCTGGCTCTGACACTGACCTGCTGGGTGACCTTGGGCAAGTCACTTCCCCTCCCTGTGCCTCAGTTTCCCCATCTGTAAAACAGGGATAATGCTACTGACCTCCTTTGTAATGCACTTTGAGAGCAACAGGTGAAAAATACTAGACAAGAGCTAGGTATTTTGGTTATCTCACTGGCTGTGGCACCTGGACAATGTATCAGCATCCGAGTTAGTTCAGCATTTAAAATAAATAAATATGCAACAATTTTCCACTTACCTTCATACCGCAAATTCCCCATATGCAATATGGCTGCCAGAAGCTTTGAGATCT